AGATATATCTATATATCTATTTATCTATTTATCTATATATCTATATATATACCTATCACCTCAAAGAATTCTTAGCCAGAATACATAAAGAATTCCTACAAATCAATAAGAAAATGACAGATACCACAATAGAAAAATTGACCAAAAATAAAATGAACAAGCAATTGACAAAAGTTTTCCAACAGCCATTAAACATGTGGAAAAGTACTTCATTAGTTATCAGGTAAATTTAAATTAAAACCACTACATATTCACTACATACATAGAATGGCTAAAAGTGAAAATATATCGATAATACCAAGTATTGGTGAGGATGTGGAGCAACTAGAACTTCCATATATAGTTTATGGGAGTGTAAATTGATATCCACACTTTTAGAAGTATCTACTGAAGCTAAATATATGCACTTCTTACCCATTTATTTCATTCCTGGGAATATAACCAACAAAAACTCTTATATATATGTATCAAAAGATTTATACAAAATTTGGAAACAACCCAAAAATCCATCAACAAATTGAGAAATAGTCATATCATAGAATACTATACAGCAATGAAAAGTAAACTATTGCTGACTCAGGCTACAACACGAATGAATCTCACAAACATGACATTTAGCAAAGGAAACCAGACACACACACACACACAAACACATACTGTATGATTTCATAAATCAGTAACATTAATCTATAGTGTCAGAAGTCAGAATTGTGGTTATCTCTGAGGAGGAGTAAGTGGGTAATAATAACTCGGGTACCATGGTGGAGACTCATCATCTTCCTTTTCACTATCTGGATGCTGGTTGCACAGTTGTGCTCACTTTGTGATAATTAATTAAACTGTTTACATAAATCATGTTCTTTTCTGCACGGGATATATACTTTAAAAATCACCTTGGAGAGCAAGAGTGGAACCAGAGAGACCAGTCCAGAAGTTATAGTAACCCAGGCAGGAGCTTGTGATGGTGTCGATGAGAAGGGATGTGGTGGAGAGAGACAGAAGTAGACTAATTTAGGATGTATTTTGGTGAAAGAGCTGAATTGACTTTTTGATATGTTGGGTGCTGAGGAAAAGAATGAATTCAACAGTGGTCCATGAGTTTGTGACCCATGCAGCTGGGCAGATGTGGAACCACTGGTCCAGATGAGAAAGACCAGGAAAAGAACCAGCACAGTTCAGATGCCTTGATATGTTACCTCATTTATTTTCCCCAACAGCTTTCCTTGTTAGCTATTATTTTTTAAATTTTTTTGCCTTTATTGATTTTAGAGAGAGAGGAAGGGAGAGAGAGATAGAAATATCAATGAGAGAGAACATCAACTGGTCACCTCCTGCATGCCCCCCACTGGGGATCGGGCCCACATACGGGGCATGTGTCCTGACTGGGAATCGAACCGGCGACCTCTTGGTGCATGGGTCGACACTCAACCACTGAGCCACTCTGGCTGGACCCTTGTTAGCTATTTTTATCCCCACTTTACAGAGAGGAAACTGAGACTCTCAGAGATAAAATTATTTATCCAGGCTTACACAGGTCTGGGAGGAGCCTGCCTCTGTAAGGCAAGTCTTGGCAAGTCTCTTGACTTCTTTTTTTCTTCACCCTCAGAGTGGGGATGAGTCCTACCCACCTCCATAGAGTTAATATACCTCAGGTTTTTAAGGGGCCTGATACAAGGTACAAGTCAGCCGTTTGTAAGTTAGCCATTATTAGGGCCTATGTGGACTTTCCCACAGGGGTGGAGAAACAGAAGGTAGATTTCACTTCCTGAGCCAAGACTGAGTTTCATTAGCATAATGATTGCCCTTTAAAGTACTGAAAGCAACGATGGCATATGTCACTGCCACATAATAGAGACCATCAGGACCCAAATCCAGGAGCCAAAAGACATAAAGTACGTACGGTAGAGGCAATTCTGGTTTTGGCAGGGTGTTGGATGCCTGGGTGACAACGTGCTCTTCTGTATGTCGGAAAGGAAATGTGTGGTGATTATTCAGCAACCATTTTGGACAGCTAAATTCCAGTCTCTTCCAGGTACTCAGAGGTGGGGGGGGGGGGCATATGTTTTTACTCTCTGGAGTCAGTAGTTCAAAAAACTCTGATTAAGTGATGCTTCTTATCACTTCTCTCTTACTTGAGTTATTGCAGCAGCCTCTAAACTAGGCTCCTCCAATTTCTTCCCCTTCAACAAATACTGAGTACCTACATTGTTCTGCTAGAACAAGCCCACAGGTGTAATGTCCTCATGGAGTTTCAGGTCCAAATGACTCCAGAGTGATATTCTGCTGGTGAAAACCACTTTGCAAATTGTAAAGGACAGACCCCATGTTGCTACCGTGGGATGATCAAGGTGATGGTGGCAGTTTTTAATGCACAGCTGTTGTTGCCTTCAGTGGCTCTCTACTGCCTGCAGGATAAAAACATACTGGCAAGTCTAAACTGAACTCCAGCCTCATTTCCCATTCCCTATTCCTTACATCAGCATTACACTCCATCCACACCAAACCACTCACAGCCCTTCATTTCTATAGCCCAAGGTCCTTGAATATTCTGTTTTCTCTGTCTGAAATGCTCTCCACCTGTCTACCTTGAAACTACCACGTCATCCTTCAAGATCTACTTTCAGCCTTCTATAACTCCTCCCCACAGGCAGTGTTCATCCCTCTTTCCTCTCCATTCACAGCACTCTCCACATGAGTTTTTTTTAGTATGGGTTAAAATATAACAGAATGAGCTAAGAATCATCTTCAAATCCCAGTTCCCTTCCTGCTTACTAGACAATCTGATCCAGTAGGCCTGGGTGCAATGGTTAAGATCTAAAGCTTTGAGTCAAAGTTAGGTTAAGTCCCAGCTCAGCTATTTACCAGCCTCATGACCTTGACCAAGTTATTTACCTCCCTCAGGTTCTAACTCTGTAAAATGGGGATAGAAATAGGCAGGAATGATTAACTGAGACACAGTGTGTAAAACACTCAGCATAGTATCTGACATCTGGGAAGCAATGAACAAATGGTAGTTCTTATTGAAAAGAATTTTGGTTTGTTCTGACCCTGGTAGCCTATCTATTTCTTGCTCACCCCACCCATCCCCAGGTTGAGCATCTCTGCTGAGTATTCACCAGGTTGTATTATGGTCCATTGTTCCGGCACCTGTGTCTCTCACTGATATGAAATCTTGGCAGGCAGGAGCCATGTCTTGGTTCTAGATCTCTAGCCTGCAGTACAGCATCAGAATAGCGTCATCTCTCACAAGCTGTGTGATCTTGGGCAGGTCAGTCTGCCTCTCTTGGTCTCAGATGTTTTCAATGTTGGAGAAAATAACAGATAAGGTTGTGGATATGAACGTGCTTTGTATGGTGTTGAGTGAGCTGTTGCTATGGTTTTGCCATGTGGGGTGAAAAGGGGCTGTAATTCAGGGTCCTGGCATCTCACAGTCTCAGATCTGTGGCCCTCTACCTCTTTTTCTTCCCTATCCCATGGAATATTAATGTGACCCTCTTTTTTAAAAACATTCTTGGCTGATTTATACCTAACAGAAGATGCCACAGTGACCTTCACAATAGCTTAAGCCTTTTCAGGGAGAAAGGGACTATGGATGCATCTGTGTGAGGTAAGTTCCTCTCAGAACGCTAACCACTGAGAACACTTCAGTGAGCAAGACAGACCTAATCCTTGTCCCTGGAGAGTTTCAATCTAATTGAGGAAAATTCAATGACAAACAGGTAAATATGTCAATAAAATAATTTCGAAGAATAATAATTACTATGAAAAATGGCATAGGCAATGTTATAGACTAATTGGGGGAACAAATATTAAACAGAGTGGCCATAGAAAGCCTCTTTAGGAGGTGACATTTGAGCCAAAATTCAAAGGACAAGAAGGATTTAGGCATGTAAAGATCAAGGTTATTAAGGGTCTCGAATAGAAAAAACAGCAAAAAATATATATATTTTTTAATTTTTAAAAAGCAGCTTGTTACAAAATGGAGATCACTATAAGTAAGAATTACTGAGTCAGGAGAGAGTTGGTGATGATGAGGCAGAGGGGTTAGGCAGGGATGATGCCAAGTGGGGCTTTGCAGGCTGTGATTTTAAATATATATATATAGAAATCAAGTGAGCAATCACATGAAAGAAAATAAGTAACTTTGACCTATGCTTCTCACATGTACATTCATTTAGCAGATGTAATTCAACATCTATTGTGTGTCAGTCACCACTCTAGGAGATGGAGATACACAGAAAATTTAAATATGGAACCAGTTTTTATGAGCCTGGTAATGGAGGATATCGATGCATAAGTAATTATAATGCAATGTGATAAGTCTAGTAGAAGAATGCAAAGTAGAGGGAGCTTAGAGAAAGGAATGATTGACTGTGCCTTAGGGATCAGGGACATTTTTATTTGAATGAAGACACTTTAATTTGAAGATAAAGCATAAGCAGTAAGGTTGGAAGAACATTCCGGCCAAAAGGAGCAGCAGGTTCTAAGGCACTGGGGTACCTGGTCAGAATGAGTGGTCAGGTCATATGTCCCGGTAAGAACACAGTTGAAGAGGAGATCCAGGGTCTTCTTGGTTAAGGACCAAAGATTGTATCTTATTATAAATTATATACATATATTAGAAAGCTCTCTCTAGGGCATGGTAGATGATTAACAGGAATGTTGTACTAGAGGCAGTTAGACCAGTGAGTCAAATATCCAATAGAGTAGGTACAAGAACATTTGTTCATTGGCCACAAAAATGGAGAGGAAGGGAGAGCTATATCCAAGGCAGGATGCCCTTAGTCCCTTAGTTACAGGACCCTACGTCTCCAAACTTCAGAGCAGAAGTGACTGTATGGGGAATTCCTCCATGTCTCCCTCTTGGTTTCACAGACAACTCTGCTGGCGCCCTCTCTCCTCCCCGTCACCAGCCCCCGCCTCCTTTCTTAGGAAGCTTGGGTCTCCCAGGGAACGGGTCTGCCCTTGGGGGTAGCCTCTCGGCTCTGTGCCCTGCAGTTCGGCTGACATTCAGTGTGGACAGAAGAGAGGCTAGTGACCCCACAGGCACATGTGCTAGCCCAGGCAGGTGGGAGCGCCTCCGCAGAGGAGTCCAGAAAGAGGGAGGGAAAGGCTTGCCAGAATCTCGGTCCGGGTGTCCAGGTCGGCCGCGGAGGAGCTGCAGCCTCCAAAAGGTTCGTAGAAAGCGCGCTCGCTCTCTGTTGCTAAGCCGCCACCTCCTCCGCTGGAGCAAGTCCGCTGGAGAGACCCTAGCCGTAGGCCCTGCGCTGTGGAGCTCCCTGAGGGTGGCTTCCTCCGGCCCTCCTTCCTTCCCCCGGTAGCTCTCACCGCTGGCTCTGGCTCTTCCGGGCCGAGGCAGAGGGCGCCACGGGCTTATTCTTGCTTCAGCACCACCTCAGGGACAGCTCCCGGGCCAGGCGGGGTCCTCTTCCCGGGTCAGCACTGCACAGGAGGACAGCGGCAGCCCTGCCGGCTCCTCTCCTTCGGTCCGGGTTCAGCACCAGGGCCGCTGAGGACAATCAGTCCCTCGCCCCTGCGGGCTCTGCTCCGCGCGTCAGCTCCGCGGCAGCGGACAGCTCTTGCCAGCCACCCGCTTTCTGCCAAGCTGCAAACAAAGCCGAGGGGCTGGGGCCTCCCTCGTTCCTTGTGGGTGGGTGTTTGCGTCGCTTGCTTGCTTGCTGCTCGTTTGGGGGATTTCGGCTTCCCCCAGAGCAGTGTCAGGGGCGACCTGAGGAGGGGGGCCTAGTTGCAATTGCGCTTTGGTCTATAGTTCACCAAGGCCTGGCTGTGCAATGGCGGGTCCCAGCTGGAAGAAGGTGGGAGGAGAGATAGGCACAGAGGGTCCCTAGCTCCAGCTGGGTGAGCTGGACCTAAGCTAGGAGGAAGGACTGTGTGGTCCCTTTTCCCTCCAGATCCCCACCTCCACTCTAGCTCAGCACCATGCACTTCCTTCTAGGAGCCTAACGCAGATGCCCCAGGCTGGCAGCTGCAATCACTGACTCTGACTGTCCCCAGAACATCCCTAGAAAGTGTGAGGCTGAGTTTCCGTGGGGGAGGGGGCTGAGAAACCACGGGGAAGCCTCACAAATGGGGCAGCTAAATGCTCCCCCTCCCTCCTGCCCAGGGTTTCTCCCCTATTTCCTGAGTAAAGCCACAAAGAAGGAAGGGGGGTGAGGAGAGTGGGCAGTAGGTTGTGAACAGGCTTGGCTCTGGGAGGTTGCAGTTAGCAAGAAAAGAGGTTGAAGAAGTATGAGAAGCTGAGAGGTTCCCAAACAGAAAAGCCAGTTCAGCGGCAGAAAACCAAATGTGGGAGTGGAAACCTTTTTCTTGCAAGCTGAAGCTGGGAGGACCCTTGGATCATGTGATCCTTTCACTCACTGATAGTCTCACTGAGAGACCCAGACTAGGGGACAGAAGTGATTTGCCGAAGGTCAGGCTGCAATTTAGTAGCAGAATTGGGCCTTAAAGCCCAGGCTCCCAAAATTCTGGGCCTGTTGTATAACATTCATAGAGAAGTCTTTTAAAATCCCAGATACAGCCCTGGCCGGTTTGGCTCAGCGGTTAGAGCGTCGGCCTGCGGTCCGGAGAGACCCGGGTTCGGTTCCCGCTAAGGGCATGTACCTCGGTTGCAGTTTGTCCCCGGCCCTGGTTGGGTCGTGTGGGTGGCAACCACTCGATGTGTCCCTTTCACGTCGATGTTTCTCTCTCTCTCTCTCCTTCTCCCTCTATCTGAACAAAATATCGAAAAATGTCCTCGGGTGAGGATAAAAAAATAAAAAAATAAAAAAAATAAAATCCCAGATACAGGGAGAATAGCTGAGTGGTTTTCATTCTGAGTCCAAAATTTCAGCTCTGTCACTAGCACATGGCTTTGGGCAAGTCTCCTTCTGAGAAGATGGATTAATAGTACCCACTTTTGAGAATTTAATGAAAAACCTGTATAATGAGATTAGTGTAGTACCTGGCACATAGCAGGTGCTCAAAAAAAAAAAAAAGGTAGCTACCATTCCTGTTATTGTTCCTTTTTTGTAAACGTGTGCTGAGGACTTGTTATGTGTCAGGTACAGGCTGTGCACTAAGGAGACGGAGAAGTGTCCCGAGGAGGACAGAGACCAGCAGAGGAAGCTGAGAAGAAAAACAGTTGCACTGTGATGTGATAAGTGCTTTAATCTAGTTTTCCAGGCTGTGGGATTTCCCATGCAGGAGTAATGAACTGTGGGGAAAGAAGAAGAAAAGTACCTTAGACAGATGGAACTGTGGAAAGGCCTTAAGGTGTGAAATCACAGCCACCAGGGTGATGTCACTGTGCCAGAGGAGCTTCAAAATGGGGACTGTGAAATGGGAGTGGAGAGAAAGGGTGGAGCTAGTCTCCAAAGAGCATTTTGTGACTAAATATGTCATATATATATATGTGTGTATGTGTGTGTGTGTGTATGTGTGTGTGTGTGTGTATTTTTTTAATCCTCACCTGAGGATATTTTTCCATTTATCTTCAGATAGAGTGGGAAGGAAAGAGGGAGGGAGGGAGAGAGAGGGAAACATCAACATGAGAGAGACACATCAATTGGTTGCCTCCCGTATGACTCCAACCAGGGCCAGGGATGAACCTCAACCAAAGTACATGCTGAAATTGAGCCCAAGACTCTTTGGTCCACAGATTGATACTTTAACTGCTGAGCCAAATTAGCCAGGGCTCAAACATGTTGTTGTTTTTTTTAAAGAGAAAGAATAGTATAAGAAACCCCCACGTATCCATCATCTATCTTCAACAATTGGCTAATTTTGTTTCATCTCTACTCACATCTACTCTCATCATACACACACGCACACACGCACACACACACACACACATACACAGAAAGACCTATTTTGAAGAAAACCCAACACATTATATCACTTAGTGCAGAAAGCTTTTAACACCAATAACAACTTTTGCCATTCAAATGTTGTTCCACTAACTCAAATCGTAACTTTCCCTCCTTGATCTTTTCTGAGCATTCCTATTCTTAGCAGAAAGTTTTGAGAGAGGCCATACTATGGTAATTAACTACATGCTTTAGAAAAACTATATCAGAAAAAAAAAAACCCTCAACACGTTTGACCAAGTCAGAATTGTTTATCTCTCTTACCTGCACCATGTTAGAGGTCAGTAACTATTTGCAAGGCTAACCAAAAAGACAAATTGAGCCTCATAAAGAAAAAGTAAGAGCTTCCCTTTCAAAGTAATCTGAGCCATGAATTCATAATAATAGAAGGCCTAAAATCATTGATTTGGAAATCACCAAACCCAATAGCCACATTTTAAAGATGAGAAGACAAGGATCAGAAATGGAAAGGAATTTACCCAAAATTTCACAGTGCTAAGACCAGAGCCACGACCTTTGAACTCATAATCTGGAGTTCTCTTCAGTTCACCATTTTGCTTGGACGATTAAACCTTGGAGTTTCTCAGTCCATAAACTTGAGATGCCATATCCTTCCCTGGAAGGAGGAGGAAAAAGTGGGGCAAGAAATGTCCTTTCCAACTATCAAGAGGGTGACAGTGTATGGCAGTTGGACTTGGAGACACCTTGACACATTTCCTGTCCATATCCTTTTGAAGAAAGCTGAGGATAGTGGTAGCTGTATTCTGGTTGCTGAGCAAATCGCCTGGCTTGTCTCGATTCTCATGAGGAAAGACTCTGCAGTCAGACACCCAGCCCTCATTTCTGTGGACTGTTGCCCATCCTGCCTGCCTTAACCAGATGCATGTGAAGCCTCCCTTTCCCATCTGCCCTGGATTCGGCTGCACACGCCTCTCAGCTACAGAACTCTCCTTGGAGGTGTGAAATGAATCCCAGTTGACCTAGGCCCTGGTAGGCTTCTTGTACCTTCCTGGAGCATGAAGTATCTCCTGTTATCGATGAAACATGTAGGCCATGATGGGTGTGTGTGCTCCCGCTGGGCTCTGGACACTTTGCAAGTCAGCATTTTCACTTTTCAGGGATGTCCCTACTTGCAAGATGGGGAAGGCAGTGTCTCATACGTTTCCTTGAGTCTTAGGTGGACAATTTAAAACACAGGGTTCGCCCTGGCTGGTTTGGCTCAGCAGTTAGAGCATCAGCCCGCAGTCCAGAGAGACCCGGGTTCGGTTCCTGCTAAGGGCACGTACCTTGGTTGCAGTTTGTCCACGGCCCTGGTTGGTCGTGTGGGTGGCAACCACTCGAAGTGTCCCTTTCACGTTGATGTTTCTCTCTCTCTCTCTCTTCCTCTCCCTCCCTCCCACTCTATCTGAACAAAAAATGGAAAAATGTCCTCGGGTGAGGATACAAAAATAAATAAATAAATAAAATAAAATACAGGGTTCTAAGCATCCCTGTTCTCAGCAGAGAACAGTCAATAAAATTGTCTTACTTCTGGGAGTATGATTACAGGCAAGAAATAAGAAGGTGATAAAGACAGTGAATTTTAGCACGTGAAATTATCCCAGATTTTAGCCTAAAATGAGACCAATTTAGATGTATTATATTATTTTTATATTATATTATATTATATTATATTATATTATATTATATTATATTATATTATCTGAGCGAAGCTGAATAATAATGGATAGGATCCCAAAAGGACCTTGGTGAGCATCTATTCTTCCTCCAACACTCACTAGTGGCTATTCTGTGTCAGGTACTATTCCAGGTGCTGAACAAGACACCCCAGATCCTTGCTCCCATGGGGCTTACAGACTTGCAGTAGACACAAGTCATTATCAACAATTAAAAAGTAAATGGGCCCTAGCCAGTTTGGCTCAGCGGTTAGAGAGTCGGCCTGCGGTCCGGAGAGACCCGGGTTCGGTTCCCGCTAAGGGCACGTACTTCGGTTGCAGTTTGTCCCCGGCCCTGGTTGGTCGTGCAGGTGGCAGCCACTCGATGTGTCCCTTCACATCGATGTTTCTCTCTCTCCCTTCCTCTCTCTCCCTCCCACTCTATCTGTACAAAAAAATGGAGAAATATCCTCGGGTGAGGATAAAAAAAAAAATTAAAAAAAAGTAAATGGGACAACATTTATGCATACAGACAGATGGGAAAGGTCCGTCTGAAATGGTGTCATGGGCCCTGGCCAATTTGGCTCAGTAGTTAGAGTGTCAGCCCGCGGTCCAGAGATACCTGGGTTCAGTTTCTGCTAAGGGCACGTACCT